GTACCTATGGGATGCCGCTATACCTCAAGTGTCTTATCAACACAATGTTGTCACATAGAGAAAACCTCCATTCATTAATGTTACTATTATTCTGGCCCAAGGCATTTATGTTTCCTTTGGAGGCTTCCTATCTTTGCTTTCTCAAGGCAGCAAGAACATGGCCTTGAGACAACTCTAAAAGCTATGCAAAAACACACCCAGGAACAGTTTCAACAAAATTAAGAAACTCTAAGGAGTTGTTATTTAGTACTTTAAAATATTGCTAACTGGGACATCACAGTTTAAGATGAGGAAATTTTACCTTATTCTTGAGTACTAATCTTATCAAGACTTAACACTAGATGAAAGTTTGACTTCCTTCAGGACTCTCCCTTCCAAACTTGTGGACCCAAATGGATTTTGGACTTACTGAATGTAAATTGCAATACTATAAAAATGAAAAGTGTAAAAATTTGAGAAAGAATACACTCACATAGAAGTGAAATTTTGTTACCTGATTTTACACCTCATCTCTTTTGCCAAAAATAACTCACTCTTCTGTTTTAAAGGTCTTACCTTTTCTCTAGTGGAAAAATATTTATTATCTAAACTTCAGGCATATTGTGCATAATTTCACATTAAGAAAATAAAACTCCGGGACCAGCAGTTGGCGTAATGGCTGTGTCACTGAACTCTCAAGTAGTCCACTACAGTTTGAGTCTCAGACCCGGTGGCTTAAACTCATGCCGGACGCATGTGCATGCGTGCCCAAGATCCTGAGAGGAGAATGGAGAAGGGATTGCGGCATGGCCATCCCCCCTGTGGGGTGATTTCTCGCTCTCTGTCTCTCCATCTCTGTCTTTCTAATGAGCACATGTGCCCTATAACAAAAACCTCTCCAAAAAAAAAAAAAAAAGGAACAAAAGGAAAGAAAACTTCCTTACTGTTTCAAGTCCAAGTCCAACTAATATGCAATGGGGAACAGTGCAATTCCAAACTCAGAAAACAAACACAAAGAGATCATTTTGGAAGCCAATATAGTGCAGTGGTTATAAAACAGCATTGCTTTATTTAATTTTTTGTAGAATACATGACCTATGCCTTCATATGTGAGTGTTAAAAAAATATGAGTTCTCTCAAAATAAAATCATTTTCTATTGGTAACTTCTTACACCTTTTTCTAGCTTTGAACACAGACACAATATTGATCTAAATAATTCCTTATCCTGGTTTCTGTGATTCTTTATTTGGATATCTAAATTTACCACACAGAAGCCACATGAACAAAGGATTCATTAATGGCATTAATTCATTAATAATTCATTAAAGATTAATGCAGGCAAAAAAAATCATGCACTTAAAGGATCAACTGGTGTGTGGCGCATTTGTGAATAAATTAAAAATAAGTAAATATTTTAAGACAATTTGCAACTATGAAATTACTTTGTCAAACAAGATAAACTTGAAGGAAAAGAAATATTATTTTCACATTATGAAGAAATTATAATTAGTTAAGAGAAAAATATGTTTGTAAATTCTAGCCAAGAAGTACAGTACTTAAATATTCTTGGTTAAGGAAATGCCCTCTTATATTAGGAAAGTTGTAGTCTTGGAAGAGACACAGGAAGAAATGAGAAGGAGCATCTACCTGACCAGCTAAAGCAATATAAAGAACCTAAAGATAGATGGAGTGTGATTGATATGACATCTAGATTTTCCATTTGTTCAACTATCCTTAATTTTTCAAATCATAGTTGATACCATTTTATAAAGGTTTTTGTCATACAGCGTATGCACTCAATTGTGAGAGACAGAAAGAAACAGTGAGAGGGAAAGTGAGAAATCAACACCCTACCCCTACCCCCCTCACCCCGGCCTGGGGTTATGGCCATACCACAATCCCTTCTCCTTTATTCTTCTCTTGGAATTTTGGGCATGCATGCACAAAGGATTTGAACCACAATAGGTAGGGCATGTGGGAGTCCAGTACTTTAACTACCACACCACCTCTTGGCCCCCAAACCATATTTTTAGGCCGCTTCTAGTTTAATGAATGTATAGATAATCTTAGAAGAGGGAAATACATGAATAAAACACAATATTTATATGTATGTATCCATGCTTCTTCTGTATAAAGACTTGCCTAATTTTGAAATTCATTTTATGAGAGAGGTCTGTCAGTGAGGAGCTGTTGGCCAAGATCTAGAAGTCCATGTAAAACTCAAATGTCAGCTTCCAGCTCTACAAGGAGTTCAGTTTAGCTGCTACAATTAGACTGATCTCTTCCTCATATGAAGAAGTTTTCAAGAAATCACAATATTCTTGAGAAAGTTTTGCTTATATTCTTTTTGGCTTTCTTAGCCATTCTTATTGATTGCTTTAAGAGAGAAATATCTAGGAAAATTCTTTCCAGAATCAGCTGGCAATTGGGCTCAGTTATAATCAGTTAACTACTTCTTTCAGTTCAACAAGTATTTACTAAGCACCTATACAGTGTTCCACCAGTATTGTGCTAGAAACTAGTGCAATATTCCAAAAAGTGTGTCTCGTTCTTTATTCTTAAGTTTATTCATTTCTTTTGTAGTAGAGTGAAGGATGCTTGAGAGAACAAGATTTTCATCCATAAAATAATACTGAAAACAATTCAAGAAAATTGAGCACAAAGAGCTAAATTAAATTAGTTTGTGGACTGGCATAGTTTCAGTTTTCTGGAGGTACTAGATCTTGAAATTGGTTTCAAATGATGAATAAGACTTGGATACACAGTAAGAAAGAGAAAGGGTATTCTAAGCAGTGAACAATTTGCATAAAAACAGAGCAGGAAGGAGAGCATGGTTTGTTCCCAGAACAGAGAAATCTGTGGTTGGTACAGAGAACATATTGAGAAATAGAAAATGCTACTATGCTCATGTAAGTACTTAAGAGTTTTATATAGAATATATAGATGTAGATATATGGATCTACACCTATTTCCATTTATTATTTACATATGTATAGCTATATACAAGGGGACTTCGAAAAGTCTGTTAAAATGGAATCAAAGTATAAGATCATTTTGGCCCCAAAAATTTAAAAATTGGAGCATATTCTTCATAATATGCCTTTTCCATGAACTTTTGAAGACTGTGTGTTTGTGTGTGTTTGTGCGTGTATGCATTACTTGCTAATTCTATGACATGTAAACATACTGCTAGATTATATTGACTTTACAAGATAACCCATCTACTCATGCCTTCATATGACTCTGTTTAAGAGATAATCATTACCTCCCTAAAAAAGCACTTCAGAAGGATAAACAGACAAGATAACTAATATTGTGGTGTATATCCTTTTTTTTTTTTTTTTTTTTTTTAGGCTT